ACCAATCTCTGTTCCGCTGATCGACCTTTCTTTCGTGGCAGAGCTTTACGTTTCTGCTATACCCTCGCCCCCCATCTTCCCAACATTGCATTGCGGTTCGCTGTGCAAAGTTTCTTCTCTCCTGTTCTCCCAACTTGGCAATTCATTCGCAAACGTCTCACCACCAACCCAGGTGGCATTTTTACCAACGCACTGACGATGTCACCTGGGCTGGTGATGAAATGTTTGCGATCTAAACGCCAAGCTCAGCGAACACAAGACCCTACAGGTTCGCTTTCTTTTCCCGTCTCTAAAAGTAAGTTCAATCCCTATCCTCGTTACACATTCTCACTTACCTTGTATAGAATATGAGTTTGGCAGCAATCAGTTCGCTTCACTGTAATACGCTGTACAATGATGATGATGATCAATGTACATTCGTGGCAGTTGTTATACATACCTGTGGCCTGATTATTAAATATTACTTTCTCATCATGTTGCGGTCTTGCCCATAGCCCAATTAACCACTGTTTCTCTGTATAACCTCCGCGTGCTGGACCAGCGAGGCTCAATTCCAGCTAACAACGCATCCAGTGAAGTTCGCATTTGGTTTAAGACTTAGACCCCGCACAAGCTTAATAAGGGGTCACAAAGCTTGTCGATCAAGTCGTACACTTGAGATAAAATTGGCTAGTGCCACCGGAAGTTTTCGAAATTTGTCTCGTCTCATCCGCATTATCGGTGCTGGTAATGCTAGTGGTAATGAAATAATTCACTGGATGTATATTCTAGAAGGCTTCGGGGTATGTTCGGCTGAGCACTTCGAATTCCAATTCAATTGGCCTCCTACATCACTCACCATGCTAACCGAAGAACGGCGTATCCAAGCTACTTGGCCATTCTAACGAAACCACAATTTCTAGAGCCTTCTCGTTTCTAAAAATTCATAATGTACCTGGTCCAGATAAACTGCCCACAGCTGTCTTTAAGGAGGGGAAGTACATTACTAAATGAACTGTGCACCGTTTCAAAACCTGTCCAAAACTGAAGAGGTTATTCGTGATTGGAGAATATCGGTCATTGTCCGAATCTCTAAAAGAGTCGTGAATCGTCTGCAGTAATCTCGGGTGGACTCAGCCCAATTTCCATAGCCTCGAAATTTCGGGCATCTGTTATCCTCCACGGCTTGTTACCTAAACGGAACGCATGGATAAGAAAAGAACGAGATGAGTTTCGTTCCAGCCGTGGTTGTACAATTCACATTCTAACTTTTTATCCGGTATCCAAACACCCTCGCACTACCAAAGGTCAACAATTGTTGTTTTTCTGGATATTTGAACAGCCTTTGTCTCTCTGGATAGGACTGCTTTGTGGGGATATGTGTTCTTAGGTGCAATAAACCCAAGAAATAAGACAGCCACAGGCTAGACCAAGAGTCCTCAAGACTAGTTAGGGCCTATAACAAACCCTCGCACCCTTTCATCCTATCTAGTGGAGCAAGGTCAAAACGATGGGTTTCATTAGTTTCTCTGCAACTTTGCTGTGAATGACATCATCGAAACCGTGTTGTCTGGTCTTGCACATCAGTGTTTAGAGCTGCTCGGAAAATAGTCCTCGAATTGGAGCACGCTGGCATCACTGTGGTCTCCGGAAACACTGGCACTACAAGTTCTGTTCAATAGTTTACCGATTGACGTGGCTCGAGACGGGATACAGGGCTGAGTGCAACCTGTAGAACATCTAAGTGAACGCCACCAAATTGAGAGGACAAACAGCCGATATCCGGGGCTATAATCGGGTTGTTGGACCACTGTTAGTTCATCTAGGGGAGTTGGTCAAATACTCGGATTCCAAGCCAACCAAGAAGAGGCGAATGAACCACACACACCTTGTGGCGGTGGTCACCCGCTCGATTGGGCATCAAGGTGTATTAAGCCCCGTCCAAAGAGTGCAGATCCGATGAACAGGACACCGGCCCCCAATGGATTGCGGTTTTCACACATCACCCCACTGCCTTGCGGGTCAGGCTTTGGCTAGTCGAAGGCTCCTGTTGTGGATTCCTCGAGAAAATTCACCTGTCTTGGCCTGGGCAACCTGGTAGTATTCAACCCACATGCAAATCATGGAACGATTTTCTTTTTTAAACATTATTGTACCATTATTTGTTTGGCAGGGGCAGTGGCATTCGACGCTTGAAATATATATATATATATATATATTGAGTTGTGGGCTGTAAAACTTGGTGCTGTTTGGCACCTAGTGCATTTTTTCATTATGTAAACTCAGTTCAGTTCTTACAACTATCAACCATACACTTTCGTGCGCCGGTTTTGGTTGCCCATTTGGATATAACAGCAGAATGATGATTAGAATGTTGAGAGCAGATTCAAGGGAAATATAGCACATGTAAACTCCCAATAATTCGATCTCTAAGTGGTTGAAGGTATTACTGGACAAAGCATACTAATCCGTTACTGGTTGTTGTTGTTTTGCTTGTGTTTCAACACTGATACCTCGTAAAGCTGCTGTGTGAAATTAGAAAAACTCGAGACGGTAATGATTTGCTCAATTATTTATTTGTACGGTGTTTGTGATACAACATTATCAGTTGCATCGATTTGTCCCCCCTCCAAACCCACATTTACCAAATGCATAAAATATAATACCGACCCCACCTTTTACAACTACAGAATTTGGCCAGTCCGTGGATGTGACCTTGAGCGATTTAGAACTGTTTGCCGATTTGTTCTACCTCCCGTTCGCTCACGGTCCGGCCGGGGTGCGACTGTTAGAACTGGGGCATTGGTTACGTGAGCACTCCTATCTGTGCGGTCCTAATCCAAGTGATCCGGAAGTGAGTCATTTTGTTTGGGGTCCCACCCCCCTATGTTCCCGTTCAGTTTGATGGGAGACCCATTTTTCTACTTTCTATTTCATTTTTTCACCACCTTTGATTGAATAAACGAAGAATCCTCTGCGGACCAACAATAATATTCCTTCTGTTTGCAATTCAATTTGTAGTTAGCACACAGAACAGTTGCTTAAAAATAACCAACAATAGGTATTTTGTTCCACTTCATTTCCTGTTATACGAATCATTGATTAAATTTATATTTTGTCTATTTTGAGAATAAAATCCTGAACCGAATACTAGACTGATAGTCCTATACCAAAACTGTGACCCAATACGGATTCTATTTCCTTTCATGTCTCGTTTCCCCATCCGTTCGCGTCGCACCCATTTTTCATATCTACTGTTAACTTAACTCACCCTTCTACGACTGTCTTGCATGAGGATTAGTCAGCGTCTTAGATGTCTCTGATTGGACCTATCTACGTGTTTTGATTGGCGACAATGTCCGCGCACAGGGAAACACGGTTGTTACGCCAGTTAGGCGCTTCGAAAGTCAGCCAGAGACCTGGACTATCTCTGTCCGTTTCGATTATAATAATCTACGTCATCATTTGGTCTTCGAGACAACATTCCTTTTTCGGACAAGGCTTCGGCGATAGAATTTTCAGCTTCTGAGCGGCGGGTAACACGATCGAACCATTAGAATGATGTCGTTGGCGAAACATGTATGGCTTCTGTATCTTGTCACAATACTGACGGACCTCGTAGTTTGAAACGTGATTATACCACCTGATTTTGGCCATATGTGGAAGGCACCAGTGGTTTAAACTTTCCAGTTTTCTTTGTCATTCAATCTTAGTGACCACGTTTTACAAGTGTATTCAAGGACGGGCCGAACTGTGATTTGCTTTTTGTAGAGGCTTATTTCACAGCGAAGCCACAGAGGTTTGCAACGTTCTTTAAATGTCGTCTTTGCGCAGTCAACAGAAAGCTTGATTTCGGCTCTGACCTGGATGGTAGAGCCCAGGTACTTGAAGTGGCGTACCTGTTCTGGTGTTCCTTTTTGATATGAATGAACCGTGGCAGGTTTTGTTAACTTTATGACGAACTTTGTTTTTGAGTTGTTTATCTCCAAACGGATGATGACCTTGGTTTTTCATCCGATACGTTCAAATAGCGGTTGTAGACTTGGAATCGTCTCCTAAAATGACCATGTCGTCGGGAAAATTTGAGGTCAGCTATCCAGGTTTTGTGATCGATTTGAATTCCTAGAAAAACGATAAGAGCATGACGCATTATCCGGTCCACGGAGCAGTTAAATAGGATCGGTGACACGGGACAGTCTGTCTGGCGGCTGAGACAAACGGAACTTCCGTCCCCACAGGCGCGGATTCACGCTCGTGTTGCACCGTACTATGAGTTTATTAGCTCTCAGTTACCCCACCTGTCGGTAAGGTGCTCCAAGTCACTGTCTGTTGGCAACTTAAAAATGAGTGAAACAAGCTGAGGTTGGCTGTTAGAACTTGTAGTGATGTTTTGGGATTCGCCGTAGCGTGAAGATCTGGTCGATGCAACCCTTCTCTCGGCGAAAACCGCACTGGTTCGGGCGTGTTCTTGCGTCACGTCCAGTAGCAAAGTGGTTGATAGATGACGTTCTCGCTTTCCATCGCTTATCTACACCATCGTACACAGGGATCGCGGTCAATTCGGAGAATACAGTGCCTGTTTTAGCTTAGTTTTTGTCTTGGATTGCTACCTTAGAAACATTGACTCTGTCTTGAATCGCGAGATTCCAGTCGCTTTGAAAGATGAATCTTGGGGTGGGCACGCATCAGCATGTGGCCAGTGCCATTGGCGCTTACCGTTTTGACACTACGATACACTCGACATTTCTCGATCGTATTAATATGTTTTTGATTTGTTGTGCTGCTAGACGGGCACTGGAAGGTCAAGTT